CCTTTCTGTCTCTTGGGCTAATACTTTCCTTGTGTCTTTGGTGTTCTTCATTCTCCTTTACTCCTGGTGGTTGGGACCAATTGATGTATCTTTGATGGCTGCTCGCAAGCCTTTAAGACCCCAGACGCCACTCACCAAAGTAGAATCCAGAATGTTTTCTTAATAAGCTTTGTTATGCCAATTGACCTAGATGTCCCCTGAAAGCATGGTCCCCAGACGCCTACCCCTGCCACTCTGTCCCTCAAAGTATTTGATTGTATTCAGGAAAATTTTTAACTTTGGTTTAGTTCAGTTGTGCTGACCCCCTGCCCCCGTAGCATGTGCCATCCTTCCCTTCACCCAAGATAACTCTTAACTACTATCTAGTTAGTAAATAACCCTCACCCTTCCTGCCCACCTTTGTAACCATGGAAGAATGTTTTCTTCTGTGTTTAAACCTTTTCTTGAGTTCTTATAATAGTGGTCTTATACAATATTTGTCCTTCTGTGATTGACTAAATTCACTCAGCCTAATGACCTCCCGCTACCTCCATGTTATGTTTCATGGTTTCATCGTTGTTCTTTATCATTGTGTAGTATTCCACTGTGTGGATATACCATGATTTGTTTATCCATTCGTCCGTTGATGGCCACCTAGGTTGTTTCCATCTTTTTGCTATTGTGAACAGTGCTGCAATATACTTGGGTGTGCATGTATCTATTCGTGTGACAGCTCTTATTTCTCTAGGATATATTACAAGGAGCGGGATAGCTGGATCATATGGTACTTCTATTTCTAGCTTTTTAAGGAAGCACCAAATTGATTTCCAAAGTCATTGTACCATTTTACATTCCCATCAACAGTGTATAAGTGTTCCAGTCTCTCCACAGCCTCTCCAGTGTTTATTATTTTGTGTTTTTTGGATTAATGGTAGCCTTGTTGGGGTGAGATTATATCTCATTGTAGTTTTGATCTGCTTTTCTCTAATGGCTAATGATCGTGAGCATTTCTTCATGTGTCTGTTAGCTGCTTGAGTATCTTCTTTGGCGAAGTGCCTGTTCCTATCCTTTGCCCATTTTTTAATTGGGTTATTTGTCTTTTTGTTGATGAGGTTTTACAGTCTCTTGTAGATTTTAGAGATTAGACGTTGATCGGATTTGTTGTAGCCAAAATTTTTTTCGCAGCCTGTAGGTTGTCTGTTTACTCCTTTGGTGAAGTCTTTTGATGAGCATAAGTGTTTGATTTTTAGGAGCTCCCGGTTAGCTAGTCTCTCTTGGTGCCTGTGCATTGTTACTTACGGTTCGTATTGTGTTTATGCCATGTATTAGGGTTCCTAGCATTGTCCCTATTTTTTCTTCCATGATCTTTATTATTTTTTATTTTATATTTAAGTCTTTGATCCATTTTGAGTTAGTTTTTGTGCATGGTGTGAGGTATGGGTCTTGTTTCAGTTTTT